TTCTTTCTTTCTTTCTTTCTTTCTTTCTTCCTTCCTTCCTTCCTTCCTTCCTTCCTTCCTTCCTTCCTTCCTTCCTTCCTTCCTTCCTTCCTCTCTTTCTCTCTCTCTCTTTCTTTTTTTCTATTTTCTGTCAGCTTAACAAATCTGAGGAGAGGAAACCTCAACTGAGAAAATGTTTAAAGAAACTGTCCTATAGACAAGCCTGTGAGACATTTTCTTGATTGATGACTGACTGATATGGAAGGGCTCAGCAGTGACACCCCTGGGCAGTTGGTCCAGAGTTGTATAAGAAAGCAGGCTTAGCCGGGCGGTGGTGGCGCACGCCTTTAATCCCAGCACTCGGGAGGCAGAGGCAGGCGGATCTCTGTGAGTTTGAGGCCAGGCTGGGCTACCAAGTGAAAGGCGCAAAGCTACACAGAGAAACTCTGTCTCAAAAAACCAAAAAAAAAAAAAAAAAAAAGAAAGCAGGCTGGGCAATCCAAGATGAGCAAGACAGTAGCTAGAACCCCTCTATGGCCTTTGCTTTAGTTCCTGCCATAAGTTCCTGCCTTGAATTCCCTTGGTGATGGAGTGTGGCATCAAAGTTGTAAGCCTAAATAAACCTGTTCCTTCCCAATATGCTTTAGGTCATGGTGTTTTAACACAAAAATTGAATCCCTAGCAAAGATGATGACCATGGTTAATAATGCATTGTATTCTTCAAAAAGAACAAAGAGAACATCAGTAAAGTATTTTATCCACAAAAACATATTAATGTGAAAATAAACTTATTTTACATGATTATTATTTTACAGCATAAACAATCTACTGATGTTCAAAAAGAAGAGAGGGTCATTTTTTGTTGTTATTTTTGTCACATGAGAAACATTTTCAATGTAAATTGTTATTTTCACTACTAACTAATATTTTAAAAGAAAAATATAAGGCTAGAAAGGTAGCTCCAAGGTTAAGAGGGCTTGCTACTCTTCCAGACTTGAAGTTCAGTTCCCAGCACCCACACAGGCATAATCACCTATATCTCCATCTTAGGGATCCAAGACCCTATTCTGACCTCAACAGGCACTGCACTCATGGGGGTATTAAAACATCACAAGTAAATATTTAAAAAATAAAATGGAAATATGAATAGCAATGCATTGTGTATTTCAAAAATTGCTACAGGAAAAGACTGAGTAGATTTTGAATAATTTTATCACACACATATATATATATGAAGGGGCAGTTATTCTTGGTTCCATCATTCTACAATGTATTTAGATGTCAAAATATCACATAAATGCTGTGAATATTATCAAATAAAAATTATATCAGGGCATTGTTCTGGACTAAACTTCTGTATTGCCCTGTAATAGACCAGACTTAACATCTGAAATAGTCACTCACGCTACATCACTACCTCAGTGTAAATTACTATCTAAGCTTCTGGAAAATTACAGAGTCCTATTTACCAAACCAACTAATGGGAATGGCTAAGAGCTACCTCTGTGTTTTTCTTACAAAAGTGTTTTGAAGTAGTCTGATTTTTGCCAATCAGGTATCATTTCTATCATCTATCTACAACTTCCTAGAAAAGTAACCTTGAAATGATCAATCTGATGCTTTGTTCTTTATTTCCTTTTTTCTTTTATGCCTTCTTTGTCTGTAAAACCTGTATCTGCTCAATCTATCACGGCCCTTATCTCATCCAATGTGATGGAGTGATAGTAAACTCTAGAACTGGAAATAAAGCCCATCAGTACTACACAGCAGATTATTCTATTAAGATCTTCATGACAGCTTCCCCTTTGAGAAGGTATATATGTATTTATCTGTTGAGTAAAATCTTGAGCTGGCAAAAGTAGGTGTTTGGCACCAAGAATTCAGTCCCCAGAATCCACATGGTAGAAAGCAAGAACAGAGTCATACAGATTGCTTTATATCCCACAAGAACATCATAACACAAATGCAAGCCCACCACAAATAAAAACATATTAAAAACATAATTAAAGCAAAGTTTAATAAGAGACAAATAAATAGCAAATAGGATACATCAATCAATACTTGGCTATAGTTAAATGTTGTTCCTCTGTTTAAGAAAGTTGGAGCAGTCTAATAAAAATATTTTATCCTCAAGATTTGAAATATCAGTATATACTGGGCCTCTTATTTAGAGTAGAATTAACTTAAGTATATATGTTTCCACTGTGACAATCAAGTATCAGTGAGACATAGAGATTCAGAATATTTTCCAGATTATTATTACTTCAAAGGAAGTGCAATCCCATCTTTACAACTTGAAGGACCTTGCCCAGATTGTTCTAAGTGAAAACTGCCATCTGAGAAGGCATTGTTTACAGGAGTGGTGTAGGCCTCATACAACAGGCTGCACATCCTGTTCTCCATTAAAACTCAGCTTACCACCAGACACAGTGTCCATCTTGAAATGAAATTGTTAAGAAATCTGGCATTTTATAGCATTGCTCTGTGAAAAGCTTTTTGAGTGCTGAGAATACTTTCCTCAGAATGGGTCATACTGTTATCATCCACATATAACCAATGGAACTGAAGGTCTCCAATGATGCCTCAGAATGGTTGGTTTCATCACCCATGGAAGTATGATGAAACCCTCATGATTTTTGTAGTACTCTTTCTTTGAGACTGACATCAGTTTTTTTCTTTTATGTGAAAAGAATTTAAAGAGATCCCAATTTTGGTGCACAGACCATGGTGTTTCAGTTCCCAGTAGTTCTATTAACTGCAACCTTTCTGCCTCTCTGGTCACTTTCCTGCCACTGATTTGCTGTTAGCATCTGATCATCCTCCATATTCCAATGCAGATAGATGAGTGAGAAGCAGCTTTTGCTTTCTTAAGAAAAGAATTTCCAGTATTGCTCATTCAAGATGTTAACAGCTATGGGAAATCACAAATAGGGGAGACGTGCAATTTAAGTTCTGCTGCCCAATGAAGTAGAAACACACTTTCTATGATTATGCAGGCTCAGTTCCAAAAGAAAAGGAAAGAAACCTCAACTTAAACATATACTGACAGGCTAAACAACAGGAAAATCATGTCTGGTTTTAAGTACCTAGCCACCTATCCAGTTCTAGTGAATTAATAAATTGTGTAGGAAAATCTAAAATTGCCATTATAGTGAACTTGCATAATATGTAACTACGTTATAAACATTTGTCCTTATACCCATAGGTAAGTGGAGCCCTCAGCCTTTGTCAAGGATCCTTCTCTTTGCAACAAATGGTGACCACTATAGAAAATGACACAGATTGAAACACAGACTTATGGAAGGCAGACCAATGGATACATCTATAGAACACTCCCACACATAAGGCTCAGAGAACATGGTGGAAGAGAGGGTAGAAAAATTGTAAGCAACAGAGGATTATGAAGTTTTCTGTGAGACTGTGTCTCTAGTAATGTCAGAGAAGCTATACCCATAAAGTCTCACCAACATGAACTCATCAGCTAAAATGAACTAACAAGGATGACATCAACAGACTTGTAAACATGGAAAGGGAAAGTCCATGAGGTCTCAACCCCACATAAAAAACTTCAGGCAATGAAGGAATGCTGAGAACAGGAGAAATAGTCTTCCCTAGGGAGGAGAACACCAGTTGGTTATCCAGTAACAAATGGTCATCCTTGAAAACATATACATACAACATACACACAAGTAAAACTCTGTAGACTGCACAGGTTGTATTTATATATCTATGAACACACACACACACACACACACAAATACAACAATTAAAGAAAATAGGCCATGAATTTGAAAGAGAGCAAAGGGGAGGAAGGTATATGGGATGTTTTTGAGTAAGGAAAAAGAAGGGAGAAATGATATATTATAATATAATCTCAAAATATTAAACAAACAAACAATACATATAAGAATTCAGAGAGTTCCAAGCATGGGCCGGGAATAACTTCATCTGTATTTGTTTGTTAGGGAAGTATCACTTTTCTACATGAAATCACAGAGTGTCACCTAGTAGACAACCACCGGCAATGAGTGAATCTGTGTAGTACTTACACTATCATTAGCAAACTAGTTTATAAAATATTTTATGTTTCCTCTATAGCACAAAACCACAGTCATTTAGGACCAGATATATAACAAACCAAACCAAATAAGACTGCAACACCATCTTTGTTGGTTTATTTGTTTATTGATTTATTTGGTTTCTATTCCTTTGACAGCTTTACATCCTCATATATAAAATAAATTAAAAAATGGGTGCAATAGATGCTGTTATGTGCCTGTGTTCCCAAGGCTGTGGAAGCAGAAATGGGGAATCCCTGGGGCTTCCTGAACAGCTACTCCAGCTGAGTCAGTTATCTCCAGATTGAGTGAAAAATCAAGTTTCAAAAAGTAAGACAAAGGATCAGTGAGATGGTTCAGGGGGAAAAGTTGCTTATTGCCAAGGATGGCAAACCGAGGTTGACTCATGGGGTGTATATAGTTAAAGGAGTGAACTGACCACTGAAAGTTGTCCTCTGACCTCCAGAGAACATGCTATAATAATATATGTGTGTGTACTGACCTCCAGAGAACATGCTATAGTATGTATGTGCACACACTCACACAAAAATATAAAATGAAAACAAAAACATAAGGTGGAGAGTTATTTGCAGAAGCCATCTAAGGTTGACCTCTGGCCTCCATACTCGGGCATGCTGATACACACAAGCGCACACACACACATGCACACACATGTAAACACATGCATACATATTCTTTTTTATTTTCATGAAGTATCCTTACTAGAATAAGGTTATTTACAGTCATTCTATACTTGGCCTCATTTCTCTGACTTTTATGGGAAAAAGTGTATTCTTGATTTCTGTTGCAAGTTCAAATCCCCCTCAATACAAGAAAACTTTAAAGAATATGAAGACAGCTAGCATGCTATTTTTAGATTTCCTTAGTCAATAAATTAATATTATGCCACTGATTATTAATAATATCATGCAAGAAAGGTATTTGAGTTCAGAGGAAAAGAGCAAATGAACTCTAAAAGCACATGCAGGTACTTATCTTCAGTCATAAAATAGAGGCAAGAGAATAATGAGCTATTGTGACTGCCAATCACTTTGTAAATTGCAGCCTGCCTAAAGTGTGGCAGAGAGGCTGATATCCATCTCTGGCAACTAGGGACTTCATTACATTTTTCTCTTTTGCCTCTTTTATTTATTTATTTATTTATTTATTTATTTATTTATTTATTTATTTATTTATTTATTTATTTTTGTATCTCTCTATGCTGCCCCAGGAACTTAGGTTCACTATATTTTGTTGTGGAATATTATTTTAACTATGTAAAGATGTGTTACATTTGTTTATACTGAGGGGTATTACTTTAACTATATGAAGGTGTGTTACATTTGTTTCTATTGCCTTTGTTAAAGAATTAAAAATGTATTACATTTGCGTGTGCTGCATTTATTTAATTATGTAAAGATGTGTTTCATTTGTTTCACCTTGCCTGCCTAAGGCAACTAAATGGTCTAACACAAAGAAATGAATGGCCAATAGCTAGGCAGGAGAGGGATAGGCAGAGATGGTAGGCAGAGAGGATAAGTGGGAGAAAAATCTAAGAATAAGAGAGAAGAAGGCAGGAGAATAAGATCGAAAGAGAGGGAAGCCCCCAGAGGCAGAAGTCAGGCAGCAGCCAGCCAACCAGACATGAAAAGTGTGAAAGTAGGACATAAACAAAGAAACAAAGGTAAAAAGCCCCGAGGCAAAAAATAGATAAAGAAAAAATTAAAGATTAAAATAAGAGCTAAGCTAAAGCCGAGCATTCAAAACTAATAATAAATCACCATGTAATGATTTGGGAGCTGGTTGTTGGTTCAAAAGAAAAAGCTGCTACATTAGTTTGTCTAGCAATTCCACTTTTAGGTAATAAATATTATCTGTAGACCTGTGGAATTAGAGACTGGTACCTAGCTACCCTCCAATACAGCTATATCTATGTTTTTCCTGGGATATGCTAAGTGACTGTTTCAGGAAACAAATGAACAAAACCTTAAAACCATGAAATCTATTTTAAAGATTGTATAAAACCAATTGACTGGTTAAACTTTCCTGATTGCAAAGTTTAAAAGATACAGAACCAAAATTATCTTAGGCTTTCTGCAGTTTCCTTAGCAGCTCATTGCTTATGCAACATCTGTTTGATTATCAAGTGAAAGCTTAGTGCATGCTGAGAAGAGTATCCATCTCTATCAGCTCACATGCTAAAGATGATGTCAGACATTTAAAGCCTACTTCAGAGATTCTTGACCTTTGTTATAACCAGCCTACCTGCTACCCTTCAGTGGATTTGGTAAATGCCTTGACATATGACTTTCTTTTGTTTTGTGACTGTAAAAACTTCATGAAACTATTTTACCTTTGACCTGTCACTTAGGATAAACTGAGTCTATGTTCTGAGTCATGATTATTTGTATTTAGATCAGAATAAACACTTTCATTCCATTTGAGATGAGAGCTGTGGTTTCACCCAAAGACACACCAGTGTTTGCACTGTAAACAGAGGGTTGGGGTTGGGGGAGGAAGCTGTTATCTTTCCTGGCACTAGTCTTTGGTTCCCTATGTGGACAGATCATCCGGTGATACTTGGATCATGCTTGGCTGTTCATTACAGTCATATCTAGGATGGAAATACTGTTTTTCAGTGACATTTGAAATTTTTGAAGACATATTTTAGAGCCAGGATTGACTCAAAGACATTTCCCTTTTATTTGAGAGACTGGGCTTCAGCATTGTGCAGTCAAGACTTTCTCTGCTTCCAGGAACGTCAAACGAAGATGGGTAGGTCACTTTCAAGTTATAGGTGCCCTCATTACTCAGATGAATTGTTTAGAACCACATTCATCCATTTCTCTTGGAAATAATTGCTATAATTAGTCATTATTTCTAATATGAGAACTACTGCCCTAAGCTAAAGAAACAAGTCCTCAGAAAACTGTTAAAATCATGGGCTTCATAAATAAAGGGAGTCATAGGATATTACTATTTGAGAAACTGGACTACAGTTTGTGCCAGAGAAAATGGAACTAACCGTGTGCAAAGAAATTAAGCAACACTCCCCCTATATTTTTGTATAAAAATATTGTGGAAATAATGAAAAACAAATTCTAAGTGGTTTTTAAAATTAAAATCTTTACGTCTTTCTCAAATGCTATTAATGCCTTTTTAGGGAAAATTCCACACTTCTCATTGATGTTGACAAAGGTGTCTGTATGTAGCCATTTCTCTACTCTCTTCCAACTTTATATCTGTTTCATTGAGAAACTTTAACTTTCTATAATAATCCATTTGAATTATAGCTACTGGGCTTTATGCTACTTTTTTAAAAAACCTCTATAGACTTTCAACTAATTTGTTTTTTCCTTCACAACTCAACCTGCTCCTTCCTTCTGTAAGAACTTCAAAGCAGCTTCCTCTCCCCACTGTTTTTTTCACCAGCTCATCATCTTGTTCTCCTTTTTATGTTTGTTTGTTTTTTCTTTTATTGAGATATTGGATATGCCAACCCAACCACGCATTGCTAACTCCTGGCTTCAAGAAATCCTCCTACTTGAGGCTCTAGAGGGACTGTAGGAGCTTGCCAACATCTTCAGCTATTTCATTGACTCTTATTGTGGCACTGACTGTAATGCTTTGAAATTTTATTTCTAGCTCAGCAGTTGGACAAGCAGCTGTCAGTATGGGCATTAAGTCAGCATCATCTAAAGATAAAGAGAACCCAAGAGGCTTCCATTCATGTGTCCTGTGATGGAACTGAGGTTACACTCTTAAAACTCCTAGATATCCTAATATATAAATGGGCTTGAAAACCACTAGAACAGGTAAGAAGTTATAAGAATTAGTATCTACAAATGGCCTGAGTAGCCAGGCAGTACTTAACGATAGCACTTGAGTAAACAGGCTTGAGGATGCTGTTTTTGAATGTTACCATAGAAAATTTTGATTATTGTATATTTACAAAAGGATCTGTAGACTAGAGAAGACCTGCAATATTAGTTTCTCATTTCTTCTAAAATTATGGGACAGAATGGGGAATTGAACTACCTTAAAATGTTTATAAATAGCAACAAACTGCTTTCATGCAGAAATATATAATTCAATCTAGAAAGTAATAATACCAACAGAATATCATACAATTCTGATTTTTGAACTGAATTATAAGGACTTTGAACCACTTTACTTAAATTTTCTGATTTGTAACCTGCCTTTCCTTGTTTGTTTGCATCTGTATAAAATGGACAAGCTCCAGATATGGGTGTTTCCCAAACAATTTGAGGCAGAATCCAATTAGCTCTCTTTATAAGTTCAATTCTATCACTTTTGGAATATTTGCTGTTAATATCTCCCAAAAAAATTACTGCAAGCTCTTTGCCAAGGTTCACTTTCTGCCCATATTTGTCAATGTCATCCTTAGTTAAAAGTACTACAATTTGTGCTGGGTCTATTCCTGCTAATTGACAAAGTCTCAATTTTCCTTTTAAAATCAAGTCAGAGATCTTTTTCACATAAGTTTTTACTCTGTTTATTTGGTAGAAATATCCATTCCAATATAATATCTCCCTTCTGCATTACAATTTTTGTAGGAGAATGTTTAGAGGGTAAAATAATCAAATCAAAACAATCTAGTTTTGGATCCACATGAAATGGAGAATAGACAGTTATATAAAGAAATAGTCTTAAAAAATAAAGTCTTTAAAGGGATAGTAATGGTAATATAAAAAATAAGCTACATAAAGGTGGATATTACACAGAGAATCTGGATTGTGTTGTCTTTGGGATTGTTAACTGCAGAAAGACATTTGATTGTAAAAGCTGCTAAATGAAACATATATATATATATATATATATACATATATATATATATATATATATATATATGATATCTTGACTCCAAAATTTATGTCTAAGGATACATTGCTTTGGAAAGAGATTCTGCTTTTATTTCCACAGAAGATGAAAACATGTGTATTGCTTCCAGACTAATATGGTTTGACCAGCCAAGACCCCTGAAAGTCTCCAATGACACCATGGCCCAGATCATCCAATATCCAAAATCAAACTGACTCAAAGAATACAGGCTCACAGACTACTGCAGTCAGGACTTGACCATTATCCTAAAATTTTCTTTGTGTCCCCATAAGACTACCAGTGGCCTCTATTAGCAGGAAGTAGCCTAGAAATCTATGCCCACATTCCCAAAGAATGGATTATGGATGTTTGTCTTTGTTTAGGTTATTGGTTACAAATTGTTATTAGTCATAGTCAATCTCTTTATAAAAAAGAAAGGGGGATATGATATAGAAATATAAGATAAATATTGTACATTGCTATAGATTTTAGTTTATTGATACAAATTTAAAGTTAATTTTGTTATACTATATGTATATTTCTACTCTTATTTAAGGTGTTATGTTTGTGCAGCTCATTTAAATTATAAGGAATAATTAAGAAATACAGGTTAACAACTAGTCTTCTATGATAGTCAAACTTAGAGTCATGTTAAGTTTTTTAGGTATACATAGATATATTTCAGATAGGTAATCTTCAAACACTTCAAAAACATACAGAACAGAATATGACATTTAAAGTGTTTTTAAAACTTTTGACTTTCTGGACAGTGTGACATGTCTGCTCCTGACAGCACCGATTCACTTCAAAGAAGAAGATGGGCATTAAAGACACTCCCTGTGGAGTTTATCTTCTTTTTGGCAAAAGTAGCCATTTGGGCAAGAAACTGTTCTTGCCTGGACTGCTTGATAAAATGTTGTATCGACTAGACATGCAGAACCCATAGTGATCACTAAACTTTATAACGTGAAATGATCCTTCAGCTTCCTGCTTCACAGAAGAAACTGCCAGACATTCTACAGGACACAAGGAAACGTAACTGTTAAACTTTGTCAGAATGAGTGGAATAGTCCTTAAAATTTCCTGCTTCACTGAAAGCTATGCCAGAGATTCTAGACATATAGGCTGAAGATAGATGCCCCAATGTTACAAATAAACTTTGAATGATTGTTCAGGCAGCCAGATATCTCTGTCATTTCCAGAATTGTGGAAGTTGCTTGCAATGCACTTCCTGTTTATTTAAGTAATATTATAACCTTCTGAGGCCTTTGATGTAGTTGAAGATGAGGTAGTTATAATTATAGTTTTTCCTGGTTATGATAATAGATAAGGTAGATATGAAACCTTAGACTCACAAATATAGGAATGGATAGGATATCTTCCTTAATTTTGCCAAATACAAATAGACTAGATATTGTAGCTGCAATTCTTGCTTGATAACTGTTTTGTTATATGTAATTTTACTATGTTAAAGTTAAAACCTTCCTTTTGAATAGAAGGCAAAGGGGAAATGATGGTAATGCCATTCTGTATGCTGTGAATATATGTGGCTCTGATTGGTTGATAAATAAAATGCTGATTGGTCAGTAGCCAGGCAGGAAGTATAGGCAGAATAAGCAGACAAGAAGAATTCTGAGAAGAAGAAGGCTGAGTGAGGAGATACCAGCCTGCCTTCCAGGGAGCAGCATATAATGGCACACAGGTAAAGCCACGGAATACGTGGCAATTTATAGATTAACAGAAATGGGCTAAGTTAAAGTGTAAGAGCTAGTGAGTCATAAGCCTGAGCTAATGGCTGAGCAGCTTTAATTAATATAAGCCTCTGTATGTTTACTTGGGTCTAAGTGGCTGCAGACTGGGTGAGACACAGGTAAATTTTCAGCTACAATGTGAAAATTTAAAAATAAAGAAATCACCACTGCTCTTTTGAGTCAAGTAAAAGTCAAATATTTCTTTAAGTTACCTTGACCGTAAGGATACTGCCTTCATTTGGTTTTAAGAAAATTTAATTTTAAAATATGTATGTCTACACAAATGTACTATATATATATTCATAAACAAATTAATAAATTCACACTAAAATATTTTAAAATATATACATCATTTACATATATCTATACATACAATTTAGATTTGTTTCATTAATTATATGTGTGTATATATTTATATCTATGTGTGGGTATGTACATGTGAGTTCATGTTCCCAAGGAGACCAGAAGAGAGTGTCAGAACGCATGGAGTTCCAGATAGTTACAGGCCACATGAAGTATGTGCTGAGAACTGAACTCAAATCCTGTAGGTCTTCTGGAAGATCAGAACATGCTGTAACCATTGCTTGAGCAATCTCTCCAGGCTCTGCTTTCATGATCTCATTAGTTTGTAGCAAACTTACAAAACAGCTCATGCTGGGAGCTAGTCCATGGGCACAGTTCTGTCTCTGAGTCAGGTTATAACATTCAATAATTAATATCTTCTTTCATGGCATATTGATTATATTCTGCTCAGTCCCAACTGGAAATTGAATGAAAACACTAATTTGACTTGACATACCAATTTAGAAAGTTATTGAACCAGAAATCAATCACCCCTGATATATACTTCTTTGTATTCTACTCTTTGTGACCACAGATGTATGGCAACCAGAGATTCTTTTTAAATTTTCAATCATAGATAACATATTAAAACAATGATTACAAAATAACAAGAAATTCATTTTAGTTATAATGTATAATATACTGATTCAAACAATGAATATTTTAGAAGTTAGTAAGTATCAAACATTGCTCTTGAGACTGGTACTGTGACATAAGAGGGAAAAATAAAGAAAATTATCTGTCCTTATAATGGGTAATATAGGATCAGGAATGTTTAGCAAATGCAGTTAGTCAAAATACAGAAGAATTCCTGGACTACTTGCTGAGAATCATAGCAGTGAAAAACATCAAAATTACATAAGCAGGGGAAGCAGAGGTAACCTCATTTTATTGGATAACATATGAAAAAGACTATATTAAGAAAAACTTTGACAACTCATATTAAACTAGACCGATCACTCATAGAGCTCTGAAGTAGCCTTGTCTTGTAACCTATTTACTTTCCTTACCACATTGCCATCGTCCTATGGAGAAGCACCTACCCAATGTACTGTCTATTGCACAGTCTTTGCCCATATTCTCTTAATCTAAATGTGACAGTATAAATTATTTAGTGATTTTTATAGATTTGTTCTTTTTTTTCAACCAGCCCTAGGATTTTATGCATAGACATCCTGTCATCCCGTCACTTGCTTATAAGTTGTCTATTATAGCCCACTACTACAATTAATATTTTTTATTTATTCTAGGCTGCTTGTAGTGGGTAGCTGTTGCAGCTTTGACTTGGAAGTACTAGCCCCTGTGAGGCTTCAGGTAACTGTCACGTCTACCTATGACCTGTCCCTGAGGCGGGGCCAAGATGGGAGCTTTTAAGACCCGAGATCTTGATGTGCTGGCTCTTTTGGTTCCTGGTGATCCTGGATGATGGATGGCAGACCGAGCGGAGTTCTTCACAGAACCCAGCTGGACTTTGCCTCACCTCTCCTGGATCCTGTAACCATAACTTACCCCCCAAAATAAACCTTTTTAACTACGTGGAGTTGCCTTAATAAATCCCCCAATAGGTGCTACTTAACATAAGGAAGCCAGGCCAGAGTACCCTCACAGGGAAGTGTGATACATATTGAAAGTCAGGTGCTAAGGTTTGTAAATGCCTGTAATCCTAGCATCCTCCAAGAGATGCAAGCAAGATGATTACTTAAAGTTCAAGTCCAGGCTCTAGACTAGCCAGAGCTACAGAATAGGACTTTGTCTCCAAAAGGAAATATTTTCCATATGATGAATTTTCAGTTGCTTTTTTGTAATCATTCTGACTGGGATATTAAGTTCTAACACTGTCCAGTATCGTTCCATCTTCAGTGCTTGTATTCTTACATGTGTGACTAGTCAACATAAAGAAGCTGAATGGAGTACTTGAATACATTTAGGGATCCTAACTGGAGATACATCAGGACAGAATTGGACAGTTGTAACCATTAATGAGTTATTTCTTATCATAAATAGTGAAAGTGAGCCTAAATAGGAGTACTTAGACAAATGTTGTAAGTTAGCAATACCACTACTGTGAAGTAGCATTAGAAAAATAGAAATTAAGAGGCAGCGAGATGCTATCGCAGTAAAGCGGCTCTCACAAAGACCTGATGACTTGAGCTTAAGTCCCAGAACTCATATAGAGGGAAAGGAGGTGAAGAATCAACTCTCCAGTTGTTCTCTGGCCCCCACACATGCACCATGGTTCATGAAGGCATACAAACACAC